GTTTCGGGTTCGGTGACCCTTCCTCAGAACTCAGCTCTGAGGAATGGTCTCCAGACCAGAAACGTTAACTCTGTTTTCTCCTTCACAGATGCTGCCAGACCTGCTGAGCTTTTCTGGCAACTTTATTGTGACATCCATTCCTCTTTCACCTCTTTTCCCCTCTGTTGTCTGAAGGCTCTATATCCTGGATTATTAAACTGCCAGTCCTGCCCTTCTCTCAACCATGCCTCAGTGATAGCAGTGACATCATACACCCATGTTTTAACATGTGCCCTCCATTCATCTTCCTTGGCCATCAGACTCCTTACATTAAAAGGATACCATCCAATCTTGCCAAACTCCCTTGTGCCTTAACTAGGCAACAATTCCTATGCGTTCCTGATGCCCTTGCTTCTCTTCTAATTTTGACTGATCATCTCCTCCCTGCTGAACCTTCTCTCTGGATCCCAACCCTGTCAGGTTAGTTTAAATCCTCCCCAACAGCACTCATTAACTTCTCCACAAGGATGCCGGTCCCATTCCGGTTCAGGTACAACCCATCTGCCCTTGTACGAGTCCCACCAGCCCTAAAGCGGTCCCAACGTCCCTGAAATCTAAAGCTCTCCCTCCAATAGCATCTCTCCAGCCATGCAGTCATCTGGAATAACCTCCATTTCAAAGCTTAATAGCCCGTGGTACCAGTAGCAATCCAGCAGTTTTTGGTCCTGCATTTTAACCTACATACTATGTCCCCAAATTCTGCTTGCAGGATGTCATCATTTTTTCTACCTATATCATTGCTACCGATATGTACCACAAACTCCGTCTGTTCACCACCGCGCCCCCACCCCACCCCACCTCGGAATGCCCTACGGCCATTCAGTGGCATCCCTGACCCTGGGTGATAACACACCATCCTGGAATCTTTTCTGTGGCCATCCCCTGTGCTTTCCCCTGCTCAGTCATCTCCCCAACAGTATCCAAATCTGTATATCTGTTAGAAAGGGGAATGGCCACAGGGAACTCTTGCACAATCTGCCTTTCTCTATACCACATGGTGGTCATCAGATGGTGCCTTTTCAGCATTTATCAGTGGTGTGACCAACTCACGGAATGTGCTGTCCACGATACTCAGCATCTCAGATGCTCCATAGTAAATTCATCCGCAGTTCCAGCTCCAAGTTGTGGCTAGCCATTAACTGCAGCTGGACACACTTCCTGCACGTGTGGCAACCAGGGCCAACTGAAGCTTCCATGCCTTACCGCAAAGCACGGGAGGACCCTAGTAAGGGTGTGAGATCTGTAGTCACAACCTCATTTAAGTCCCTCAGTTAATCCTTTCCCAATAAAATAACCATGCCTGTGTAAGAAGACTATAAAGTTACTTCCCTTATGTTAACTTTCCTTCCCTTATCCTAGTTTGGTTTCTGATATTAATTTATTATGCTGGCCCTGGTCTTCACTTATTCCTGTTGCTACTCAATTAATCCCTTCTTTCAAAACAAATACATGCTTTAAAATCATAAACCAATCAACCCACCACTTCCCTGTGACAGCACTGTTTGATTCGATTTCCCAGTCAGCAGTGCCCTGAAGCTGCAGTTGTTAAACTAGGACTCCTTCTCTCTGCTGTCCCCCGATTCCCAGGCCTCAGTTTATCCTGTTGCTGCCTCCCTCTTTCTGCTATGTTGAAGCTGAAATGCTGGGACCCTGACCCTGGGGCCAAGACCTTGCATGTCAGTCTCTCTTATTCAGCAAATATTTTTTCCCAAACAATACAAGGAAGATCTTAAATAATTGTTCATTTCATTATGTAACTCATTTATGCCCAGTTATCTGTCATCACAGCATTGGCTGAACTTCAAAAATAAATTTATTGCATGTGTAACACTTTGAGATGTTTGTGAGAGCCATGATTGATGTGCTACTTTTACCTTTTCTGATAACTTCTAATTTGTAGAGTAGTAGGATAGCAATTCCAATCTTAAATCACTAAATCTGAAACAACTGGATGTGTAAAATATGAAAACACGTTATTTTCTTACCATACAAGAATCATCACTGACACAATCCTCGATCACATTTACAAGTGTCTTATTGCTGTAAATATCAAGCGATGAGCTGTAATTTCCCTCTTCCAGCGGGTAAAACTCTAGTTGTATATTGTTGAGCCTTACATCCTGCAGGCAGCCCTTGAAAGGCCCTCCCCATTGAGCAGAATCATGAGGATCTTGACCAATCTGAACAATGTCAAAAGGTTGAATCTTCACAGAAGACAATAGAAAGTCTAGCAGAATAACATCTGAAGCAGTAACGGTTACCCAGGCTTCATCAAAACGAATTTCTATCAGTCGCTTAATGCCATCAGCAAGGTTCATTGATGAGTTTATCATCAAAACGTTCGTTTTGATGTAAATGCTGCTGTTATTCAGATATATTGTGAGATAAGGAATTGTACCATGCCTGAATTGCATTAGGAAGCCAGCTACCTTTCGTGTACGTATGAAAAAAGAGATAACAAATTTTGTGCCCGGATTGTCCGTGATAATAAAAGTCGCCAAACTGCTAGAATTCTCATTGCTGAATGTTGCAGAGACGTATTCTGCCGAAGGAGAAGAAAATAGATTTGTTGAACGTTTAAAAATATGTGCAGCAAAAATTTCTGAGAGGGAAATACATTCATTAAATAGTTCATGGATAATTCAATGAATACTTTGTTCAATGTGCAATAGTTTTCTATTGAATGTTAATAGGATAAATTTAATGTTACTTAGAGATTAACCAAATACTTATCGGTAATTTCTCTCTAAATAAATCTTGAATTCAGCTCAGAACTTGTTTATTACACTCCTGCATAAAGGTGCAAGGTACTCCTCTCATAAATTATATTCTTTATTCACCATGTTCTTCTGGCTTCTGTTTCAGGGCACTGTTAGAATGCAATCTGATTTCTAATTCACAATATTTCCCATTTGTCTCATTTTCTATTGATTATCAATTTCAGTGATCAAAAACTACTGTTGATTTTCACTCATTGCAGTTCAATTATAATATATAAATGTGAGGCTATTCACTTCAGAAGCAAAAACAAGAAGGCAGATTACTACCTGAATGGCTGTAAATTGGGAGAGGGGAGTGTGCAATGGGACCTGGGTGTCCTTGTGCACCAGTTGCTGAAGGTAAGCATGCAGGTGCAGCAGGCAGTAAAAAAGGCAAATGATATGTTGGCCTTCACTGTGAGAGGTTTCGAGTACAGGAGCAGGAATGTGTTGTTGCAGTTATACAAGACTTTGGTGAGGCTACACCTAGAGTATTGTGCGCAGTTTTGGTCTCCTTTTCTGAGGAAGGATGCTCTTGCTCTCGAGGGAGTGCAGCGAACGCTTACCAGGCTGATACTGGGGATGGTGGGACTGACATATGAGGAGATATTGACTAGGTTGGGACTATTTTCTCTAGAGTTCAGAAGAATGAGGGGGAGTCTCATATGGACTTATAAAACTCTAACAGGACTGGACAGGGTAGATGCAGGGAGGATGTTCATGACGATGGGTGTGTCCAGAACCAGGGGTCACAGTCTGAGGATTCTGGATAGACCATTTAGGACGGAGATGAGGAGACATTTCTTCACCCAAAGACTGGTGAGCCTGTGGAATTCATTACCACAGGAAGTAGTTGGTAACAAAACATTGAATGTATTCAAGAGGTGACTAGATATAGCACTTAGAGCGAATAGGATCAAAGGTTATGGGGAGAAAGCAGGATTAGGCGACTTTTAATTGGACGATCAGCCATGACTGTGAAGAATGGCGGAGCAGGTTTGAAGGGCCGAATGGCCTCCTCCTGCTCCTATCTTCTATGTTTCTATGCTTCTAATTCCTAAACTTTACAGTGTGTGTTATCTGTCAATTTGTTTACACAGAAGGCAAGCTCAGTTTTATTTGAACAATATAAACTATTTAGAATCTTGGCTCTGCTGTTACTTTTCCTGTTTAAACCATTTTTGATGTAATTAGAATGGTGTGGTTACTGAAAATAAATAATAAAAATGTCATTAACAGCCATCAGGTAGATGGGACACATGCACCAGTTAGCACGAGGTTTAGGAAATAAAAGCAACCTTTCCTAGAAATATTTTGAGGATCTTCCTCCTATTTGAACATGTAAATGTTTAGATCTTACCGTGACTGGAAAAGGTAAAAAAAAACCGAAGAAAAAAAACAACAAAATATTTATTGTCCTTGAGAAGTAAAGCGTAGGTACACTCTCAGTTCAGTTAGGAAGAGAGTTTGTAGGATTTTGATCCTGTGACAGTGAACAAACGGTGATAGAGTTGCAATTCAGGCTGGTGTGTGGTTTTGAGGTGAACTTACAGATGGTGATTTGCCTTCGTGCCTACTGTCCTGCATGATAGCAGAGGTCATGCCTGTGAAAGGTACTGTTGACAGAAGCTTTGCAAGTTACTGAGTGAATCTTGTAGATGTTGTGCACTGCTCCTACTGTACTGCTGTTGGAGGGAGTGAATGATAAATTGCTGGGTGGGGTGCTGATCAAGGGGCCTGCTTCAGACTGAATGGTGCCAAGCTTCTTGAGTGTTTGAACTGCACTCATTCAGGCAATTGGTGGTGCCTGGTGAGTTAAAGTGAATCCATTAATCAACATTCTCTTCTTTTTAACCCTTTAAATATTTCAACCTGTTTGCATCATGTATCTTGCTGTCATATTTAATGACTCTGTAGTTGACCTTCAAGACATCAGAACCAGTGTGACTATCTTTATAATGCCAAATGCACCTGCTCACCCTGGGATAGAGTCTGTGTAAGAGTTTGAAAAGGTTAATACTGAGGAGTGCCTTAAACATTACCCACTAAGATGATGCCATATGGATTTAGTACGAGAAATGTCTAGGATCTCAAGTGAAAGCTAACATTGAGATCATTCTCACAGTGTCTGTAACAATAGCCATCATATCAGTGTAGCATGCAATTAGATGCAAACTATAACTCACTCAGAGATTGTAAGAACTGCAGATGCTGGAGTCAGAGATAACACAGTGTGTAGCTGGAGGAACATCAACTTTCCTGCTTCTCTGATGCTGCCTGGCCTGCTGTGTTCCTCCAGCTCCACAATGTGTTAACACTAAACTGTACCTTGTTTCTGACAAAATCATCTTCCAGTTAGTCTAGCAAGTAGCTTTCTAATACCACACTAAACCAAATGGGTCCTGTACATCTCTACCCTAACAGAGGTTGGTGCCAGGAAATCTATCCCAGGGTGAGCAGTGAGAATGATTGGCCATTCCCCAGGGTGAGCAGTGGGAATGATTGGCCATTCCCCAGGGTGAGCGGTGGGAATGATTGGCCATTCCCCAGGGTGAGCAGTGGGAATGATTGGCCATTCCCCAGGGTGAGCAGCAGTGCAGATTCTGTTTGGCTGCCTCATACTACATGCTGGCAGTGCTTGAAGTCTGAAGATTTCGTTCAGACACAGCTTTAGGAATCCTGCTCATGCAGTGAGCAGAAAGAAGAAACCCTCAAGGCAAGACTCAACAAGACAGAATCTACAATGAATGTAAATGTATTTTAGATCTGTTATGCAATACAGGCAGATTGTTAGGAGCTCCCTGGAACTTTTTTTTTAAGTCACTATGAGGCAATTACAGGTGCTGGAGATCAATAGGAATAGTCTCAAGTTGGCATTGAGCCAGAGAGTGAATGGATATTGGAAGTTCCATGAGTAAAGATAAAATCCCTGTTGGGTAACATAAAACTTAAGAAAAAAGATACAAAAATGCAAGGCTGAGAAGGCTATAGTAAAGATTTTACAGCTTTGATCACGTGTCAGCACTAAATTGAGTCCAGCACAGCCACAATAAGGGAAATCAAGGGCCCAGGAAGCAATTCAAACCAAGGCTTCAGACCTGGGGACGTTGTAAAACCAGAATTAAAGCAATAAAAGGGCACTTTCAAAGCCTAAGCAGACAATGACTGATCAAAGATGAAAGATTGGAGACTTCATTTGTGTGGGAGATCCAGTGTTAAAATGGCAGGAAACATTTATTGAAACTACAGCCAGAAAGAATTATCCAGAAAAAAGAATGACAGAAAAGGGGTTCTTAGAGCTGCAGACACTGGGAACTAGCCAGAAAATAACATGGTTGAAGTGTACAACTCTGTTAAAGCTATAAGCAGTGTGTTTAATTCAGTAAATCCATTGGGAAATAGGAATCGTTTACTTAGGCTGCAAATAGAGGGATTCATTTGGAGTAGCCACGAGAAAGTGGGAATCCTCCATTCAAGTGCAAAAACATGGGAAAACCTTTCAGTATGACCACAGAACAGTAATACAGCTATTACTGTAAAAGTAAAAATCTTACAAGCAAGGAATACACATAATCATAAAAACTGAAAGAACTGCAGATGCTGTAAATCAGGAACAAAAACAGAAGTTACTAGAAAAGCTCAGCAGGTCTGGCAGCATCTGTGAAAAAAATCAGAGTTAACATTTCAGGTCCAGTGACTGGTACTATTGCTGGACAGTTAATCCAGAGACCCAGGAAACACTCTGGGGAAAGGTTCAAATCCCACCACGGCAGATGGAAGAATTTGAATTCAATAAAATATCTGGAATTAAGAATCTAATGATGACCATGATTCCATTGTCGATTATTGGAAAAACCCATCTGGCTCACTAATGTCCTTTAGGGCAGGGAACTGCCATCCTTACCTGGTCTGGTCTTCATGTGACTCCAGATCCACAGCAATGTGGTTGACTCTGAACTGCCCTCTGGACAATTAGGGATGGGCTATAAATGCTGGCCTAGGCAGTGATGCCCTCATCCTGTGAATGAATAAAGACCCTTCCCCAGAACTGCCAGTCACCGGGGTCGAAACATTAACTCTGATTTTTGTTCACAGATACTGCCAGGCCTAATACACATAAGCATATTAGGCATGGCATCGCAAATAATATTTGCAGGAAGATTTAAGTTCAGACATGGGCTGAATAAAGCAAAGATCTGGACTTCCTGGAGAAAACAACTCTTATGATGCAGAATTGCTTCCAATTTGCTTACTAATTCAGAAGATGAACAAGTTAATATGCATCTATACACAGCTGGGCTCATAGTTAATAATGTTATTGTTCACCAGGTTGTAAATAAGCAACAAATACTTCTGAAGAGATATGAAGACTTTGACAACTCTAACTTCAGAACAAATTAAATTCTTAAAACAGTAAAATGGAACAATTCAGCATTTGGCAAATCCATAGATAAAATCATTAATGATTTCTACATATTGATGAAAAAATGTGACAATGGTGATTTAAAATCAGAATTTATGAGACATGATTATTGTTGGAATTGCTGATGAGTCTCTCTCCTATTAATTACAGTTGAAGGATGATTTGAGTGTAGAGAATGTCATACAAATAGTGAATGAAGCCAAAATATGGAAGCAGTACAGATCAAACCTGAGGATAAGATTAACATTATCACAAGAGAACAGCAGAATTTATTCAATTCTTAGGTTAAAAAACACAATAGAAATATACGAGCAACCAGTCGAGTAAGCAAAAAAAAGTCACATATTAAAGGCATATTAAAGACTCATGGAGAGACCCAAACAGGAGACTGTATCAAGTGAGATTAGTTACGTTGGCTTAAAAAAAATTATATCATGCTGTAAGCAAGATAGAAACTTTTGACGTTACTGGATTGGCAGAAATGATTTCTTTGCTGTCAATATCAATGAGAGGTCCAGGCTGCATTGATCAGCAAGGCTTGCAAGCAGAAACTAACAACCTCATAACCAATGACTAGTATACCTGACTTGACCTCACTGATGTATCTTCAACTGAGGTAAGTCATAACTTGATAAATAAATAGTATTGACAGATTAAAGTCTGATAATAGATGCTGAAATGACTCAGAAGAGGAAAATTCAAAGAGAAAATGTTTTTTTATATTCCCAGAAAGAACGTTCAGTAACATTGACAGAAAACATGCCAAGCAAAAAGCAATCATCAACCAGCATAACTGAGGAACTGAACATGGTGGTCCCACATATTAAAGGTCCCTGCCTGTGCTATATAGCAATTAAAGCTCACTGGCATAGATAATAACTAGCATTTAAAAAGGAATGTTCATCTGTCACACCGTGGGTCACTTTCAGAAAATGTGCTGAAGCAGGCCATAGTCACAGAAAAACAAGAAGTGGAATAAATACCTACACTAACAGGTTAATGAGGTATAACAAGCCAAAACTTAAAGAAAAAGGCCTAATGGCTTGCTGGGGGGCAGTTAAGTGATCCAGACCTAGCCTTTTGAAAAGAGGATATTTATATCAATGGGCATTTCACTAATTTTTAGTTTGATGCAAAAGTGAGTTTCAATACATTGTCAGTTAGAGAACAATGATTGAAAATGCACTGTCCAGAGATGACATCAGTGCAACTGTACATTCTCAAGAGGTATGCCACTTTAGATTTGAGATACACTATAAGAATTTCTCTAAAATAAGGGGTGAGAGTATGTGAGAGTTAAGTATGGGTGTCAGATAGTAAAAAAACGTGCATGTACTCGATAGCAAGGATTCTCACTCTGTGGACATATGCCTTAAACTAAATTATCTTCAATGAACATGTGCCTTAAACTAAATTATATTCAAATGCCAGAAGGAATTAAACTAGTTAAAGCTGAGAAAACCGGTCCAGGACCAGTTGGTCATAGAGGAGCGACCAGTCAAAGGACAAACTGTAGAAGATTTCGTAGGATCCCTAGACTCATGGAGAGACCCAAACAGGAGACATCATCAAGTGAGATTAGTTATGTTGGCTTAAAGAAATTGTATCATGCTGCAAGCAAGATAGAAACTTATGACGTTACTGGATTGGCAGAAATGTTTTCTCTGCTGTCAATATCAATGAGAGGTCCAGGCTGCATTGATCAGCAACGTTTGCAAGCAGAAACTAACAACCTCATAACCAATGACTAGTATACCTGAGTTGACCTCACTGATATATCTTCAACTGAGGTAAGTCATAACTTGATAAATAAATAGTAATGGCAGATTAAAGTCTGAAATAGATGCTGAAATGACTCAGAAGAAGAAAATTCAAAGAGAAAATGTTGTTTCTTTATATTCCCAGAAAGAATGTTCAGTAACATTGACAGAAAACATGCCAAGCAAAAAGCAATCACCAACCAGCAGAACTGAGGAAGAACTGGACGTGGTGGTTCCACCAATTATACAATTGCTAAGTCCAAATAAGAACATCCAAAGTAATCAACGGATTAAAGTAGTCAACACCTTTCAACACACAGATTGAGCGGCAGATTGAGAACAAAAATCTGCGAACACAGACTGATGACATGATGCAAACAACCCCATGGAAGCCACCACTGAGAAGATTTGACCAATTTTCAGAGATCCAGGACACTGCTAGAAAGAAATTGCCTGTTTCAACTGGACAGCTGTCCTCTGAAGGGAATCCAAGAGATTAAAAGTTTAAAGGGGGCTTTCAGCCCTCACAAGGAGCAAAATGAAGGTCACCAATCTTGTGCTCAGAGAACTGCTGTTAATATAAGTCTAAAGAGAATGAATTCTGGGAGTATACTGAGACCTTCAGATTCGCTGAGTTTGTAAAGTCAGAGACTTGGAGGGAGATGGGGTACCAGCAATAAATGTATCATATAAATATTGAAAAAAATAACTTGTGGGAGATGTTTTATAACAGTGTAAGAATCTGAAAGGCTTAAAATTGAGGAGTGCCTTAAGCAGCACCAGTGTAGATTCAGTAGGAGAACAGTTTAGGATCTTGAAAAAATAAAACGTAGCATCCAAGTCTTCTTCTTTGTCTCCTTAACAATGTCTATTGCATTAATGTAATCTGTAACTTGTTGCTACCATGCAACAAACTACATCTTTTTGAAGGCTCAACCCTGGTGAACAGCACTGAACACAGTTTCATACAACAGTGTGGTCAGGATTTCTCATACAACAGCATCAATGATACTCAATGCAGAATGTTTCTGTTGAAGTAAAGTCTTATAATGACACTGCACACTTGGGTGATATAGCAAACCATTGCATTCCTAATTACTTTCCAACAACCCTACAAAAAGCAGTGCCAGAAATTACTGTAATTATTGTTGAATGGAATGAGGGCAGATTTATTCAATGGTTGGTATGGGTTCAACAGCGAATACAGTCTACACTACTTTGTAGTAGGTGCATTACTATTATTATGATTTACCTACAACGAGCATTGAATGGTAAAACCATTCTAGGTTGTAGAAATTAAGCATTAACCCCACACGCCTCCCAGAGAATTTGGAATGCAGTTTTAAAAATTGCAAAGCCGTAAATAAATCCAAGTGACTTCAAGGAAACATCAAATGATAGACACTGGAGGTTTCAACAAGTCTAACAATTAAGTTGCATTTGAAATGTTTGAGTAATCATTATATCAAACTGTGCTCAGAACTTGAAAGAAACTTTTGAGTTCAGGAGCAAGATCATGAATTGGACAGATCACATTCAAAATAGGTGTTGGAAGCATGTGTTATTTTGTAGAAATTAGTTAAAGTGTAGAGTTATAACAATATTACTGATTTCTCCATAGTGTACCTAGACCCTCCTTCTTCCCCAATTCATTACTCACTCACTTGGGCAGGTTGCAGACAGACACCACTACTGCTATTCACCCTGGAGTTCTGGTGGTTTCAAAGTCTTTCATTGTGATGTGTCCAAAATGAGTAAATGCAGTTTTATTTGGTAATTTGTTTTTTCACTGCTGTGTTATTGCAACACTTTAGAAAATTTGAAATGTTTTCTATCAGGGAGGAAAATGTGAATAAGTTATTGAATTATCCAAAATAGCTGACTTAATTGGTATGTTGTAATTGTTGATGGCAAATGTCACTGTCAATCTGTATACACTGCAACACCAGCATCTTTGGATTTACTGATAAATGTTTATTTGTGAAGAATCCACTCTGAACTATTTTTATTAAAATATCTTGATGCCTAGTAAAGATGTCATATTCCTAACATTAAAAGATACAGATTTCAGTCAATATGGACTTCTATAAGTTGACTTTAAAAGTGGACGATGTGCTATTTTCAAATCTAAACTTTATGTATTGTACCTGATTAAAGGCATGATTGGATATATAGAATTAGGCATGTCCTGAGCAAAAGCTATGGAAGCTAGTCTTTGGCATAACTTTAGTCTTGTTAATGAAATTAGAGTGAAATGATCATTTTATGTTTATTAATAATTCTCCTCTTTGTGCTGGGCTAATGAGTAGGGATTTAAACATCTGTATGGTGCATTGGAAATGGAAATGAAAATAAAGTGGTGATAGTTGCGGTTTTTTTTACAAAGAGGAAACTTGTTAAACGTTCTTTATAAATTAAGAAATGAATACGGTATTGTGCAAAATAGCTTTTTTGTTTTCATACATGTGCTTGACATTTTTCTTATTCCTCAATACTTGCAAATTGTCTATCAATTCCAGCTGCGAGGTAAAGACCAGGATTATGTTTAGTAGCATAAATATTAATTATTTGAACATTTCGTTTTGAGCTTTTCACAAGAAAGGGTTAAAACAGGCTCATGATCATGACAGAAAATTGACTATCTGATCTTCTAGGTCATAAATGTAGCTCTAATCTGAATTGACTCTCAATATCTCTCTAATAATCACATTAAAATAAACTCTAATATGCTTACCGTGAAGGCATGTGGGGCCTGCAAATGGCCGGAAACAATCACATTTATAATTTGTCCACAAATCGACACACTTGCCATTATTGTTACATGGATTCTGTCGGCACCAGTTTATCTTCTTGCAGCCAAGTGTAAATCTCAGTGACATATTTTTTGAAATTGTTTGTGGTAATATAGCCCTGTTATCAATTTCCAAATCCTGTATGCAACCAGTAAAATAATCCTGAATTGGAAAGAACATTCCTGGGAGGCCACCAATGTGTGTCGTCTGAAATGCATGCAGTGAGGGAAGGGTAACTGCATCAATGGCCTTTGAGTTTGAACAAGTGTAATTTGGGCAACTAGGATGTGTCAAGTTGACTTGGAAACTTTCACCCATTTGAACTGTTAGCTGATGCCATTCACCATCGTTAACTTGATGAATGAATGAAATGCTAATTATCTGACTATTTATCACAGCTATGGACATCAGCTGACCGCTATAAAGTTGAACATGCATGTATTCAGTAAGTATATCTCCTCGGTAGAGTAACAGCACATTTGGTATGGTTGTCCTAAAGCGGAGACTGATGCTAAATGGCTCATCTTGAGCTGCTGTTCTATTCCGATTAGTATTTGGAACTTGTACAGTCACATAGCCACTGAATAAGGAGAAAGTTGTTGATTTTGAACAAGAAGCATCATAATAACCAGGAGGACATTTGCAATTGTAACTGTGAGTGCCATCCAGCAAGTTTGGGATACATGTTGCTCCATTATCACATTGGTGTTCAAGGCAGCCATCTAACTGAATTGAGCAGTTCTTTCCTCCCCAGAAGACACCATCATCATCCATTGCAGGACAACGGCAACTATAATCCGCAATACCATCTTCACAATCGCCTCCGTTTTCACAAGGATTGCTTTCACATTCGTTGATATCGATTTGACACATCATCCCTGAGGGAGAAAAAGAAAATCTTATGACAGCTTACTTGTAGTTTCAAAACAATGACATGCATTCCTGTTTATGTTCTGAACGTGTTATTTTAAAATTCAAAAAATCAAAAGTAGTAACAGCCTACTCAAGGCAAACTAATAAAAATTGAACACTTTAGTAATAATCAGATTGTGAGTATGCGTAATAAATGTGCAAACATTTTCATCACAAATGCTGTTAGTTCCGAGGCCATAGACCATAGGAACAAAAGTAGGCCATTCAGCTCCTTGAGACTGCTCCACCATTCAATAGGATCTTGACTGATCCAATACTCCTCATGTCCACTTTCCTGCCCTTTCCTCTTAACCCTTGATACGCTGACTGATCAAGAATCTATCTATCTCAGCCTTGTATATGCACAAGGACTCTGGCCCCACAGCTCTCTGTGACAAGAAGTTCCAAAATTCACAACCCTGAGATCACCTCTCATTCTTCTGAACTCCAATGAATAGAATCCCAACCTATATCCTTATAAGACTATCCCTCCATACCGGGGATCATCCTCGTGAATCTTCTCTGAATACCTTCCAATGAAATAACATTTTTTCTTAAACAAGGAGATCAAAATTGCTCACGTTGTACAGCTGCAGCTAGAATTCCATACTGTTATCCTCCAATCCCCTTGAAATAAAGGCCAACAATCCATTAGCCTTCCTGATAACCTGCTGCACCTATCCTCATGTATCCCCAAGTCCTTTCACATTGCAACTTTCTGCAGCTTTTCCGCATTAAATAACATTTTGTTCATTTGTTTTCCCTTCCAAAATTAACAATGTTCACCTGTATTATTTGATTTTCTGCTCACATGCTAACAAACATTGCTATTAAAGCTTTTTAAATCTCAGGCTAGGATTCATAGCCATTATAATCATAAGCTTGAAAATGTCTTCTATTTGTCTTTTTCAACTCTACCTTCTGAAAGACTGGCTCTGCTGGCAATGCCCCTGGAAGAATAACTTAAGAACATATTTATACGTTTGGATAACTGAAGAAGCTGGTGAGATAGTAGGGACTGCCGATACTGGAGTCTGAGATAACAAGGTGTGGAGCTGAAGGAACACAGCAGGCCAGGCAGCATCAGAAGTGCAGAAAAGTTGACGTTTTGGGTCTGGACCCTTCTTCAGAAATGGGGGAGGGAAAGGGGGCTCTGAAATAAATAGAGAGGGGGGGGTGGTGATAGAAGGTGGATAGTGGAGCAGATAGGTGGAGAGAAGATGGACAGGTCAAGGAGGCGGGGATGAAGCTAATAGAGGTGAGTATAGGTAGGGAGTTGGGATGGGGTTGGTCAGTGAGGAGGGAGGGGCAGGTAGGTGGGAAGGAAGGTGGACAGGTTCAGGAGGCGGGGATGAAGCTAGTAAAGGTGAGTGTAGGTAGGAAGTGGGGATGGGGATTGGTCAGTGATATAGGAGGAGCGGATAGGTGGGAGAGAAGACGGACAGGTTAAGGAGGCAGGGGTGAGGGGGGGTGCTGGTGTTGGGATGAGGTTGGGGGTGGGGAGATTTTGAAGCTCGTAAAGTCCACATTGAGACCATTGGGTTGTAGGGTGCCAAGGCGAAATATGAGGTGCTGTTCCTCCAGTTTTCGAGTGGCATCGTTGTGGCACTGGAGGAGGCCCAAGATGGACATGTCGTCCAGGGAGTGAGAGGGGGTGTTGAAGTGGTTTGTGACTGGGAGGTGTTGTCGTTTTTCGCGAACCGAGCTGGTGGCTGCTTTCCTTGGAGAAAAGAAAATTGAGAGCTTATTTTATATCGGTGTCCAAATCACAAGGGGTCTGAATATAAACGATAAGGAAGATGCATGCCCATTGGTTGGTAAAGGTTTGGAGGAAACTGATTTAAGCTATAGGACAAAAAAAACTTGCAAAGACAAACTTTGTTAAAGAATTGTGCTGTCTCAGTAGTTACACCTTACACCTCCCACCACCTATTTGATATCTTTCATTCCGGTTTCTTCTTAAGCCAACAAAAACAATGCAATAGTGACCCTGTGACAACGACCATAGGCTATTCTGCTCCATATAACTGGCTGGCTGATCTTGACACTGTTGGCTAATGTCTCTTCTTGGCATTTGGCTCTGAGGCACTGTGTTCTTTATTAGTTTCAATCATGCTTATCCCAACAAGAACACCGTCTCACTTACTGATTTCTGCAAGATCACTGACGATGAACACCAGAGTAGGGTTTTGATCCTTCCTGAAAATCTATATAGTACATCTTGGTGATATCATCTATAATGGCAGATTCTGCTACAAGTATGTGCTGATAACACAAAGCAACTCACCTTCATGATAACTTGAAACATTAACTCTGTTTCTCTCTCCACAGATGCTGCCAGATCTGCTGAGTTTCTCCAGCATTTTCTGTTTGTATTTCAGATTTGCAGCACCTGCAGTATTTTGCTCTTTATTTGATTGTCCAAATTGTAAGTGTCCACTGAGTCCGAATTTGATAAGGGAAGAGTGAACTCCGGTACTCCACGAAGAAAGCCATCAACAAACACATAGAACTCGACCCCATGTACACTCCACTACAAAGGAAAACTGGAAGAGAGGTAATCCAGCTCAACGGACTCCAGAGTTTAAAAACCAGGTGGGAAAACACAACGGCGCTTCATCAGAAGCTGCACTGATGATGTTACCCAGCAGGGTAATGAAACGTCTGCGGAACAACGAACCAGCTCAGCAAGTCAACCAACCACAGTATGGAAGCAGGCCATTTGGCCCATCAAGGCCACACCAACTCTCCCAGCCAGAACGAACCCCTACCCCATAATCCTGCATTTTCCACGGCCAATCCACCTAATTTGTGCATATTTGGACTGTGGGAGAAAACCCATGCAGACACAGGGAGAATATGCAAACTCCACCCAGACAGACGCCCAAGGTTGGAATTGAACCCAGATCCCTGGTTCTGTGAGGCAGCAGTACCAGCCACTGAGCCACCATGCCACATTAATGATTACATTGCAGCTTCTTCGCGTGATTAGCAACCCCTTAGATTCTTGTATCTAGGTTGCACATTATCTGTTGTCATCGAGATTTGATGGCATCCTGACTCAGCTATTGATACTGTTGCATCTGAAACAGACGTTTGAGAACTCAAGCCCGGTTAGGCTAACAATTATGTAATATTGTCAGTGATCTAAACATTTTTAATAGCTAAAACATTATAAATTTACAATTTAAAAACAAGTTTTCAAAATTATTTGTGCTTTCAAATGAACCTAAAAGGAACTTGTCATTGTATTAGAGAAATTAGGAGGCCATTTAGAGGGAACAAGGTAACAACATTCTGATCATTCCTTTTACTCCGAAAATAATGTGCATCAATAAACACTCTATCCATTTCTTTCAGTGATATTGTTGAAGAATCTACATCAACATTCCTTTTGTTAGGTTGGTTTTGTGCAGTGATTTGCACCACAGGGACTGCAACGATTGTGGTGGTTTACAATTTGTTCAAAAATTAATAAAAGTAATCCTTCAGACAATTCATCAGCGCTGTGTTTAAAGCAAAGTCTTAAATTTTCCTTATTTCTCTTTTGTAAATACATTCTGGGCTGAATCTTGCAATTATTTTTGGCTAAGTCCTAATTGTGTCAAGGGTTTTGGAGGGTTTGTTGCCAAGAGATCTAGACATGATGTGGAGGTGCCAGTGTTGGACTCGGGGTAGGGGGGGACAAAGTCAGAAATCACATGATGCCAGGTTATAGTCCAACAGGTTTATTTGAAATCACGCAAGCTTTTGGAGCACAGCCCCTTCGTCAGGTGCAGTGAGAGAGCAGAGGACACAGACCCAGAGTTTATAGGCAGAGAGATCTCTCTGCCCTTGATCTCTGAGAGTACTAAGGCCTACGAGGAAGCATCAGCAAGGCACTGCCTCCTGCGTCCCCCATCAGCCCAGATACCAACACCTTGGAGGGTATTCGGGATTAGAGAGAGTGGGACCACAATCTTGTGAGCAGCTCACTGTGACTGCTCCATAGCTGGATGAGACAGAAATGCCCCAGGTCACTGGCACTCATAGCGCTGCCAGAGAGCAGGAAGCTCGTCCTGGTTGGTAGCTGTCCTCTATCAAGGGAGACAGTTTTCAGTCAAGGGCTCCCAGCAGAGTAAGTCAAGGATAGACTTGGGCACCAATCCAGACTGGTCAGGATCAAAATCATCCCCTCAGAGAGTGGGGGAACAAACATCAGGCAGTCCACCACCTGCTTGGCCCTTTCTGCCCTATTCTGAGCTGTTTTCTCCTGGAATGAGAGAGAGGGAGGGGTAGAGTCAGATGAAAGTGAGTAATACCGCTGTGAGTACGGCAGTTGGTGAGGGTCAAGCTAGGTGTCCAGAGTGAGAGTGGCTAGGTAGCACACAGGGACTGCAGGCCTAGGAAGATGGGGAGGCGTGGAGGTTCAGGGTGGGTTAGAGTGAGTGAGGGGAGACGCTTTTGCATATAACAGTGAGAGGGGAAGAGCGTGATCCTTGGTGGGAGGTGAGTGTTATAACAGAGAGAAAGAGTGTGAGGTATCAGGGAGAAGATAGTGGTGCCTCCCCTGGCATTAGAAGATGATAATTGACCTTCTTCTTTCAATGTTGGGCATTGGATCAGATAGCTGTGACATCAATGAACTGGGTGGCAACCTCAGAGCAGGATGCCAGGGTCTGATGGTGTGGGCTTCCTCTGCTGGCCATCGGGGAAGAGGATAACCCTCCTCAGCATTAGCCTAGTCACCAGGACCTCCAGCTTCCCACCCACAAAGCAGACAAATGTCACAATCAGTGCAGTGCAAGTCTGGATTGAGAGCGCATCTCTGGGTGCTCAGTGGGTCTGCACTGAGAGCGTACCTCTGGGTGCACAGCGGGTCTGGATTGAGAGCGTATTTCTGGGTGCACAGCGGGTCTGGATTGAGAGCGCATCTCTGGGTGCACAGCGGGTCTGGATTGAGAGCGCATCTCTGGGTGCACAGTGG